GGACTGCTGCAGTTTACACAGGGACGATTGAATATGTGTGGGCTGATTGTTTACACAGGCCGTGGAGCCACATCTGTGTTCAAACACATTATAAAAGTGAATTTTGCATAATAGGTCCGCTTTAATGGAGAGCAGGTTGTGAGCGGGTGAATGTGGGTCACGGTACAGTAGCTCTGATTATTATAGAAGCACTGATAATATCATCATCATCATCATCTCACTGCACAGATTGGCTCTGGATAACATCAGCAGTGGATACATGCATACGCTCTGCTCTCATTATGTGCTTCATTCCTTATTCAATGCATCTCACATTTATTTCATTCCCGGCTGAGTCGCTTCTGTAGTGCACTGGCCTACAAATGCTGAAGAGTGAAAACGCTCAATGGAAGGTTTTAGCTGCGAGTCAGTCAGGTTGAATAATGTAATTGGGTCAGGAAGACTTTTTTAGAAAAAGATATTTGTACTTTTATTTAGCTATGATAAAAAGACATGATATTGTGATCAAAAGTGGCACTTACACTCGAATTCATCTTGAAAGTGTCCATTGTAGAAAATACAAAATCATGGTATAAAAGCATAATAATTAGGCTTCTGAACATTTGAAGAATAGAATAGTTTTGTTAAGAATTCAGCTTTACATCACAGAAATAAATTTCATATATATATATATATATATAGTTAAATTTAGAATTATTAGCCCCCCCTTTGATTTTTTTCTTTTTTAAATTTTTCCCAGAGAATTTTTAACAGAGCAAGGAAATTTTCACAGTATGTCTGATAATATTTTTTCTTCTGGAAAAAGTCTTATTTGTTTTATTTAGGCTAGAATAAAAGTAGTTTTTAATTTTCCTTAAACCATTTTAGTCAAAATTATTTGCCCCTTTCGGCAATATTTTTTCGATAGTCTACAGCAGGGGTTCCCAAACTTTTCAGCCAGTGACCCCCAAAATAACAATGCCTGTGACTCGTGACCCCCAATATCCCCTGAGGTGGTTATAAATACAGAAAACTTGCATGCAAATGCGCACACACACACCAATAGACCCAAGTCTATTCTTCGTTTATTTATGTATGTAAGTGCTGTAAATGTGCCGGAAAGTTTAACCTGTTATTATAAAATCAATCTGCTGCATCTGACGCTATTGCTAAGTCTTTAATATAATGATTACCCCAGGGGTCGAAATCCAATAGAACTAGTAACTATGAGCTACTATAGTAACTATATAGTAACTATAAACAACTATTTTTTTTCTTTTCAGTAGGTTATGGATAAAATATGGTAATTCTTATGGTTTAATAAAAATAAATAGATACTTGGAAATCACCAGGCGACCCCCCCCTTCATTGTCCTGCGACCCATTGGGGGGTCCCGACCCCCACTTTGAGAACCACTGGTCTACAGAACAAACCATCATTATACAATATCTTATCTTGACTAACTACCCCAACCTGCCTAGTTAACCTAATTAACCTAGTTAAGCCTTTAAATGTCACTTTAAGCTGTATAGAAGTGTCTTGAAAAAGATCTAGTCAAATATTATTTCCTGTCATCATGACAAAGATAAATCAGTTATTAGAGATGAGTTATTAAAACTATTATATTTATTAATGTGTTGAAAAAATCTCTCCGTTAAACCGAAATTGAGGAAAAACAAAACAGGGGGGGGCGAATAATTCTGACTTCAACTGTGTTTGAGCAATATCATATTAGTAGCAGTGTGATATGGCTGTATATCAGCACTGGTGGGCTGGAGGACGGAGGCCTAAATGGCGTCGCACATGACAGTTGGAAGTATCGCACACCAGACGTGCACATTCGAATTTAATTTAATATGAAACTATTCAAATGGTGCTCTGTGGCGCAGCAGAAATATGAACAGTGTCCTAATTCGTAGCAGTGCGCGGACAGTTGGCGACTTGTGGCGCCGGTGTGCATAAATCTATGTTTAGAATTCTTAAATGCATGGTGCTGTGTGGAACTACTTTCTTCCACCATTCATTCACATCTGCAGCTGATGTCAGAACAGCAGAAACCGTTGCTAATCCACAGACGTCACTTTAGAGATAGTGTTTGAATGATTCTCTAGCGTAATGTCTAATGATGACAAAACAGGTGATTTTGCTCACATTTTAAGATTATAAGGCTGAACAGCATGAAATGCCATCAGTCTACAGAGAGTTCCCAGTATTTCTCTGTTGCAATTGGGAGATAACAATAATTAACCCCGAAAAAGCCAGAGCAGCGCAAACAAAAGCAGATTACTATGTTATAAATTCAGCACTACAACGTACAAAAGAAAGAGATCGACTTAGAATGTTACTCACCTGTTCTATAATGATTTGTTCAGCTGTAGTTTGAAATTGATGTTAAGTCTTATTTATTTATTTATTTAGAATTTTTTAAACAGGAAAAGATTAAAAGATAATGGGGCCTGACTCTGTTTTTCAGCAGGTTCCTGCTCTGCAGTACATAAAAACAGACTCACATCTCATCCATCAACACAGTACAAACAATCACCAAACATATAGAATAGAGAAAAGCAGGCTACTATCTCAGTGGCTACAGCGATAGTTGACCATCAGATGACGAGCATGTGAATTTTTAAAAAGTCTCAGTGTTGGTTGTTTTTAGATGTTGTGGGGTTTCATTCCAGGCTTTTGTGAAAACATATAAGAAAGATCTCTGTCCATAACCGTATTTAAAAGCCTTTACTGGCAAACATCCATTTGTTACAGATCTGGTGGAACGATCAGTCCTTGTGTTGAGTTTTGGTACTAAAGCACAATGGGCTGCTGAGGTAGCGCTATTCAAAATTTGATAGTACAGTTGATACCTGTGTTAATAATGTAGTTTTGAAATGTTAAAGCATTAAAAAGTGAGAGAGCAAAACAGTGATGTGTCGTCCATCCAGAAAGTCTGTTGTGGATCTTATAGGCCCTATTGTACAGTCTAGCTCTTGGCTCCAAGATATCATGTGTTGTGAGAGACCAAACAGGCAAACAGTAAGACAAAGACTATGGCAAGATTATATTTTTCTCCTCTAAGGGTTTAATATGCAGTCTCTGCTGCCATCTTCTGGGGGAATGTCAACACTCTTTGCTCTGCTCACTGACAGGCTGATGGCCATCGACACGCTGTAACTCCGAATATATAAATGTTTAAAATAGGCACTATCCTTAAAAATAATCTGCACAGCTGCAATCTGAACAACATCATTCTCGTCCAAAAAAGTTTCAAGGTATGTCTATGTTGTCCAATGCAATATTTGTCAAACTGTAGTTAGTTTATTGATCTGCAGTCACTCTATGTATGTGGGCGGAGTAATACACAAGGGTGATGAGGCTAAACGAATGCTGTTATTGCAGAATATCACACGGCTATCAGCCAATCAGAATCTCTGTACATATCAGAACTCTATATATATAAAACCGGTGCACCCGGAGGAAAACCTCGCCAACATGTGTGAATGTGAACTCCACACAGAAATGCCAACTGACACACTCGAGACTCGAACCAGCGACCTTCGTGCTGTAAAGTGACAGCTCTACCCACAGTGCCACTGCGCCACCTGATTTCTTTTTTTCTTTTTAAAATATTATCCAAAGGATGTTTAACAGAGCAAGATTTTTTACAGTATTTCCTATGATATTTTTTTTCTTCTTGAGAAAGTCTTGTTTTATTTCGGCTAGAATAAAAGACATTTTTTAAAACCATTTTAAGGTCAAAATTATAAGCAATATGTATTTTTTTTCTACAGAACAAACCATTGTTATGCGTTTAAAAATGTGTTGAAAAAAATTCTCCGTTAAACAGAAGTTGGAGGGAAAAGTATCAAGACACTTGGATTTTATCTAGCATTTTTGATGCTTGATAATTACTATTATTATGTGTTACAGTCTTCAAAGTGTCAAGCGTTATATTTGCGCATCTAAATCATCATAAAGCTTCAGTGTGCTAAAGTCATGGAGTGAAATTTTAAAATATTTTGATTTCCTTTTTCTTTAACTCAGGAAGTTACTGATGTAAGGATAAACACTGGTGTGAGCATTCAACAAATGTTCAGCAAATTAAACACTAAATTACGCACAATAAATAAGACAGATGGAAGACAGAGGGAATTTTTTTTAGGGACAGAACAACCTTGTTCAAGTTTGCTCTTCAAAAGGGAAACATGTCCAATATAAACTCTACAGGCTATCATGGTTGCTCGTCATTATTCGATATCTGCGGCGTCTCACTTGCTGCTGATGCGTTTGTACCTCGAGGCTTCACTTTCTGTCTGCTCTATTCTCTTTCTCATCCTCTTCATACCTCGGCTAATGTTGCCTAGAGTGAATTGAAATATTGGCAAAGCTGTCGGCGCATTTATCAAACAGAAAGTGTCTGCGGTTTGCAATTACTTGTTTATGTTTAGCCTGTCAATATCTGCAAGAACTGTAAGCGTTTGTCTCCATGTCAAAGAAGGTGGAGCCTCAGAGCCACACCCACTTGTTACATCACTATCATCAACCAATGAAAGTTAGCAGCTTTTAAAGTCTGTGTCTAGAAAATAGCAGTCATTTTCCACAGTACATGATGTAGTTACTCTGGGAGTTCTGCAAAAATGCTGAGATGACTTTATTAATTAGTTATTTGAGTCATTGCAGACCTTACTGTCCTAATTAAATAATAAAAATCAAGGCATGATCATGGTTTCTTATGGTAAATAAGTGTAATCTAGAGGCCTTTGCCTTTCATATAAGCCACTTCTGAAACCAAATGATCAACTAGAAGTCAAGTTATTATTGCGGTTACTTAAACTTGGATAGGCAGCAAGACTTTTGTCAGGTAGTGTATTAGTTTTTATAATGACCTTTTGTGGTATGAGTTCTCGATTTAGCAGAATTCATACAGCAGTATTTGTTGAATGTAATATAATTGGCCACTGAAATGCCCTGTATCTGCCAATACTGAGACTCACAGTGTGTTAACAATGTCCTCCGTCTGCTTTCCTCAGGTATGACACCATCACCAATCAGTGGGAGACGGTGTCCCCGCTGCCCAAACCTGTCCACTCGGCCGCCGCCACTGTCTGCGGAGGGAAGATCTATGTGTTCGGCGGAGTGAATGAGGCAGGACGCTCTGCCGGGGTCTTGCAGTCATACGTCCCGCAGACCAACACCTGGAGCTTCATCGAGTCTCCTATGATTGGTGAGAAACAAATTAAGAGTCCTCTTTTCTGCATCCCGCTTTTCAGCTGAAGGCAATTTGAGGTGAGACACTGCAGGCAAAAACAGCACCTGTGCACTTGCAGAATTTGGCTTTCAATAAACAGTTTATTTTCCCATAGTAAGTTAAAGAAACCATCCAAAATACTTCTTTTCAAATGTACAATTGTTTTTTGTCGCACTATATTAGTTTGTGTCTGTAGACTTAAAGTAAAAATTTCTAAAGGAAAAAAACAACTTTATTATTATTATTATTATTATTTTCAAATAGTTGTTTTGCCATTCCCCTAGGGCTAAACGGTCAAGTTTTACCATTTTTAATCCCTTACACCGGCAGTTAGCTCTCTGCAATTCTTACATGGTCGCCCACTGAAGCTAAGCAGGGCTGTCCCTGTCAATACCTGATGGGATACCACATGGGAAAGATAGGCTGCTGTCGGAAGTGGTGTTAGTGAGGCCAGCAGAGGGCGCTTAACCTGCATTCTGTGTGGGTCCTGTGATGAGCAAATCGTACTAAATTTTACGAATTAGATCGTACGAATTCGCCACTAAATCAAAATGTTACGAATTGAGATTGCGTTGGTATCTCTCCTAATTACTCTTGTATATCCTGTAAATAATATTTTAAACAGTGCATTTCTTGCATCTTCCGTAAACGTATATTTTAATGTAAATAATAATTTGAATGTGAAAATATGCCGTCTCAAGGCATCAGTGGTGCAGCATCGTCAGTGTAGGCAAAGTAAGGGTGCTTTCACACCTACACTTTTGTTTCGGAACGTGTCTCGTTTGCCCAGTTAGCGCGGTTCGTTTGGCATATGTGAACAGGGCAATCGTGCTCTGTTCCGCGCCAAAGTAATCGCTCCGAGATCGCTTGAATGAGGTGGTCTCGGCTCGATTGAAACGAACCCTGGAGCGGTTCGATTGCAGTGAGAAAGCGATCCGATCCGAGCGCGGTTATATTACAGTGTTTTATGGATATGTAATAGGCTTACGGCTACATGAAGAGAGAATTATGAGTAAGGCGGGAAGTTTCGCGAGTCTCCGGATGCCCGCAAACGAGTGATGATCTCCCGTTAACCTCGCGTCTCTCTCCCAGTCCTCAAATAGGCATCGTCACGCACCCTTCTCACCCCTCCCCACCGTGTCTCTCCTCAGACACGTCACGCGCGCGCACCCTGTCAATCACCACCAAACCACCACCTCTCCTGACAGCTGAGCGGGACGCTGCAAAATAAACCCTGACACTCTGACCAATGTAAGGAGAGTTTACTCGTACGTGACTTGTTTTAGCTCTTTTGGTCCGATTAGAAACTTTGCAGTGTGAAAGCGAACCGCTCCAAGAGCAAAGAGCAACAATGTAACAATTTTAATCTCTGTTTCGGAACAACTGAATCGATTCACAGGTGTGAAAGCACCCTAAGGCTCAAGAATGGGTCCATCGTTCGACTTGACCAGAGATCAGACGTGGCTTCAAAGTGTGGCTAACAGAGCGGGGTGAAGTGACTCCACACACATTAGGGAAAGTAATTGAAAAAAATCGACCTGTAAAAATTAGAGCTATTATAGGTTCTGAATGTCACTTTTCGATGAATCCCCCAGCCCCATAACGTGTTATGACATTGTGTTCTGGCTGCTGCCAGAAGTGGTGTTAGTGAGGCCAGCAGGGGGCGCTCAACCTGCATTCTGTGTGGGTCCTAACGCCCCAGTATATTGATAGGGACTCTATACTGCTCAGTGAGCGCTGTCTTTCGGATAAGACGTTAAACCGAGGTCCCGACTCTGTGGTCGTTAAAAATCCCAGGTTTAACCCCGGCATCCTGGCCAAATTTGCCCACTGGCCATCATGGCCTCCTAACCATCCACATATTATAGGTGGCTTCATCTCTTGGATTCTGTAACTCCGTCTCCTCTCCGTCGATCAGCTGGTGTGTGGTGTGCGGTCTGGCACAATATGGCTGCCGTTGCATCATCCAGGTGGATGCTGCACACTGGTGTTGGATGAGACTCCCCCAAAAAATGTGTAAAGCGCTTTGAGTGTCCAGAAAAGCGCTATATAAATGTAAGGAATTATTCAGCCGATCTCCGGGTCTGGTTGGAACACTTTTAGCTTAGCTTAGCATAAATCATTGAATTGGATTAGAACATTAGCATTAACAGGCTGAATGTCACAATATCATTGCCTATGCTATAAAAGTTCGTTGATTATTATGCTGGAATGAGGGTATAGTTCCGTGCCTCAGTCTAGAAAACAGCTGCTTTTCATTTTCTGTTGATTTTTAGTACATGATGCAACTACACAGGAGTAAAGCTTATAATAGGAAAAGTATCTAAACTTTTTGGTCATTTTTGAGCGAGATGCTAATGGTCTAATCTGATTCAGTGAATTACGCTAAGCTAAGCTAAAAGTGCTCCTGCCACCTTAAAAATTGGTCAAACTCAACTGTTTAACTTGGGGAGTTAAAAAATGAAATATATCCCTCTATTCTGGAGGTTTTCACTAAGGGATATGTTCATACATAACCTGTATAAGTTTATGCAACATATTACACTACTAAATTTTTCCTGGAAAAATAAATAGACAGTGCTCAGCATTAATGCGTACAGCCTATTTTGAAAATGACTTTCTTTTATCTCCGGGTTTCTGCAGGTTTCACAAAGTCAAATTTTAGACTTTAAAGACCGTTATAAATGAAATATCAGACTTATACAAGACTAATTTTTTTTACAGTTGGTCATCTAGAAAAGAGGTTTACTTGCCTCACCCAAAAAGATTTAACTAGATAATTCTTTGCCACATATTTTAAACAATGAATAAACCCGAGCTGTATACCTGCACATTTATAACAGAACTTTTCCTCAAAAAAAGAATAAAAAGAAACATATTAGTAAATAAAGTTTGGGTGAAGGTTTTTATTTTTTTAGATGGATTGTTAGTGATTGGAGACATGGATAGAAGAAATGAAGACTTGTTTAAAATGATTTAAGATCTACAACACAATATTTCAGTAAATTTCAGGCCTAAAATTTAGTTTTTGAAATGTAAGACTTTTAAAGGCCTCGCAGACACCCTGTATCAATTTCTCTGTGAATATGTCATATTTATTGGTGCGTTTAAACAAAACAGATTTATTAAACAAATATTTATTAAAATAATATTTTTGTCACCAAACGTTTTTAGGAATAGAAAGATAATACACTCAAATTCACAAAAAAATTCAACAAAATTGTGTGTGTATATCAAGATTTTTGCTCTTTTTAAAATGTTGATTTAATGTTTTTTCCTAACATTTACATTTGGCTGTGCTTATTTTTGTACCGTTATCGTAAGTTATTTTGTAAGGTTTGTTCCACATTTGCCTTCAGTACTGACTACTCTAATGTACTTGCACACATATAATATTTTAAAGCTTCCTATAAAAAATATTAATCCAAAAGAAAGATTTGTAAGGGGTGTACTGAGCACTGTATCTATGCTGAGCACAGTGTGTGTGTGTGTGTGTGTGTGTGTGTGTGTGTTAATTTATTTATTTATTTTTGTGGCTGTTTGCAGTGTTTTCTGAATTATAAAGTAAGAGAGATTTGTGAAATCCCCTCAAGGCTCCTTGACTCGAGTATGTGACAAAAATCTGATGAAGTGTTTCCTGTTTTATTTTTATGTTAGGAATGTATGCAAATTAGTGCATATTTAAAGAGATATCAAGACAGACCAAACATTTTAATTTAGTCATTATTTACCCGCCCTTTACTTGCTTCAGACCTTTACAAGTTTCTTTCTTCTGTTGAACACAAAAGAAGATATTTTGTAAAAGGTTGGACATTTGTAACCATTGACTTACATAGTATTTGATTTCCCTACTATGAAAATCAATGGTTACAGGTTTCCAACATTCTTCAAAATATCTTCTTTTCTGTTAAACAGAAAAAAAAAATATTTAAAGGAGAGTAAATAATGAGTAAATATTCATTTTTTGGGCGAACTGTCCTGAACTAATGTCTCAATTCCAAATTAAATAACATTTCAGCAAACCAGTTTACAATTCAGTCATTTGAGTATGGTGAGTAATACTAGTTCATCTATTTTTTTTTTCACTGTGTTCTCCTGCAGTGTCTTGCCTTATAAAAGTGTGTATTGGTCCAGAAGGTGCTTGTGTATTATCTGTTTTATTGGGCTGTTTGTTTGCTCGAGGGCTCAGTGGTAGCATAAGAACAGCAGGACAGATCCTGGAGATCCAGACTCGCCGTCTTCACTTTCAGCCTTCAATTAGCTCCGTGACCGCTGTGCTAGGGCATCATAAAAGCCATTTCATAAACCAAATTAACTTGGTAATTAAATTAAGTTTCATACAGTAGAGGGAACCTGGTTTGGCCGATCATAAACCAGAGATCATTGTCTTTTATTGTTGTTATGGTCGTTTGTACACGAGTGTATTTGAATGTTTACATTTGTGCTGGATGGTTAGGTTATTTAACATTCTGGCCGGTGTTCATTGGTAACAGTAAGATACAGGTTTAAATAAAGCTGCAACAGAGCTAATATTAGACCTTTTTCAATTACTGGCACTGAATATATAGTGTACAGTAAGGCTTTGCATATTAGCAGTTTTATAATGAAAAACTATTTTGAAGAAACTATAATAAACATGTTTTACAGCATTTATTCATTTTCCTTAATGTTTATTCCTTGATAAACCAATGCAATCTGACCGCAGTTCATAACTTTTTGATTTAGTGGCCAATTCGTACAATTTAGTACAATTTTCTCATCACCCAATGACAGTTGGGGTTAGCGGTGGGGTTGGGTGCCACGCCTCCTTTTTAAAATCGTACATTTTTGTACGACTGAACTTGTACAAATTCCTACAAATTACCCACTAAACTGACAAAATGTAAAATACTTACGTTTGAATGTCTTAATGTTATGAATTGTTAATCATATTTAAAGTTAAACTGTAATTAACAATAGCTGTACTGAATGTGTAATTCTCAGTTATTTTATTATGTTATTCATATCAATATTTAATAATGTATATAAATAATGAATTTTATTTTTGTGTTATGTCCAATAAATTACAGAACTATATATATATATATATATATATATACATACATACATACATACATACATACATACATACATACATACATACATACATTCATTCATTCATACATACATACACACACACTCACCAGCCACTTTATTAGGTACACCTGTCCAACTGTTCGTTAATGCAAATTTCTAATGTCAATCACATGGCAGCAACTCAATGCATTTATTCATGTAGACATGGTCAAGACGATCTGCTGCAGTTCAAACTGAGCACCAGAATGGGGAAGAAAGCGTCTTAGACAATTTTAGCGTCTTAGACAATTTTAAAGCTGATTTTCTTAGCATTTTCGATTTTTTTGAACCCTCAGTCACTTTCAACGTGGCATGGTTGTTGGTGCCAGACAGGCTGATCTGAGTATTTCAGAAACTGCTGATGTACTGGAATTTTCACGCACAACCATCTCTAGGGTTTGCAGAGAATGATCCGAAAAAAAGAAAATATCCAGTGAAGGCAGTTCTGTGGGCAAAGACTGGTTCAAGCTAACAGTAACTCAAACAACCACTCGTTACAACCGAGGTCTGCAGAATACAACAAGATAATGTCATCAAGCATGAACCATCTCAGACTGGTTTCTTGAACATGACAATGAGTTTGCAGTACTCAAATGACCTCCACAGTCACCAGATCTCAATCAAATAGAGAGCTGTGGTGGAATGGGAGATTTGCATCATGCATGTGCAGCCGACAAAACTGCAGCAACAGCGTGATGCTATCATGTCAATATGGAGCAAAATCTCTGAGGAATATTTCCAGTACCTTGTTGAATCTATGCCACGAAGGATTAAGGCAGTTCTGGGGGTCCAACCCGGTACTAGTAAGGTGTACCTAATAAAGTGGCCGGTTTATATTTTCCACAATAAAATATTTTTTAATTTTGGGAAACATTTAAAATATTTTGGAAAAGTAAACATTTCAGGCTTAATAAAGAAAATGAATCATTGACTTCTGCTGTCTTTATTAGTTTCAGAAACACCGATTTTTTTAATTTAAAACGGCATCTTTGGAGATCTTTTCTGCTGGAGATACTGTTGTCCTAGAAAACGAAAAATCTTACATATATCATAGGAATGGTATAGCAGAAAATGTTGGTAGTTTTAAAACCTTGACTTTTCCAAACCGCTGTATACCTTGCAAACGGTTATTATACTATGCCTAATATATATATTGCATGGGTATATTTGTTGAAACTTGAATTGAATAAAAGATAATTTTCCATAAGGACATTTTCTAAATTTCCTTCAGTGAATATATCATAAGCTATATTTTAATAGCACTGTACATTGCTAGGAGCGTCTTAGACAATTTTAAAGCTGATTTTCTCAGCATTTCTCAGCAACCCTCAGATTGCCCTATTTTGACAACCAAACATAAATGAAAAGCTTATTTATTTAGCTTATGATTGATGTATAAATCTCAGTTTTCAAATGTTGACCTTCATGACAGATTTTGGTCACATTTAATAAATATCTGACACGATATGTGTTCTGTAAAAGTATTTCATCATAATTTACAGAATTCCATCCAGTATTACTGCATATACACTTTTATATGTAGGGTAAATACTAGCATGGAATGTGAACATCTTTGTGTGATTTTTCCCATTGGCCGTTTTTCCCCCAGTTCTACTGTACCACTGCATATTTTCCCCTGCCGTGTCCATGCAGGTGATGGCCTCATGCTGAAGGCTTTTAAGAGGTTCATTTCCTCAAGGTCCCTATGTGAGTCTGTTGTTTGAAGACCTGTAAACACTACTGAGCAAACACTAGTTCAGCCAGTGCCAACAAGACAAGCTGTCAGTGAAGGTCGAGCAGGCAAAGTGCCACTGAAAGTGCATAAAGCCACGCGGACAGTGGAGGAGAATTGATTGCAAACAATTGCTTGTACAAATTACACAAGATTGCTGGCCGTCTTTAGAGAACAGGCACATTAAAAAGTGATTCAGGGAGCCTCTGGACAGTCTGATGAGTGATCACCGCACGGGCTCCCAGTTGCCCATCGCCGGACTCCATGTTAGACTCAGACAAACATCCCTACGAAGGGTAGCCTGTGTTTATGAAGCACATTTAAAGCATGTCAATTGGCCAGGCGGTACTCCGAGACGTCCGTCAGAGTGAGATGGGTTTGACTGAAGTAGTCTCGCTTAAAATGCTTCAACTTGTTTATTGCAGACTGAAGGTTGTTGCCGGTGTCCTCACCCCATTTCCAACAAGATTCTCAAGGAATCTTGCAATTCAAACAGCTCCTTGCCCCTTTCTTTAGTTTTTTAATAGCTTTTCTCGTGGCGCGTTTCACCTCTCCTGAAAATTGAGCGAGACACCTCTGTAAATTGGTGCCACGAACTGTTGTTGTTGTCTTGTTTCGCTTTCAAAAACAGCTGAATCTCTCATGTCTCCATTGTGCCAGGTACAGGCCTCCCCTATTTGATCGAAACCTTGAGACGTCTTGCCGGTGGCAGGATTTCAGCATCAAAGATGCAGACCGAGCTTTGGCGTCGCATTTGAGCCCCTCGAGTAGCAGCGGCAGGCAGAACGCGGGCCAAACCCAACAACGAGCTCTGCTGATAGCATCAGCGTTGGGTTTGAACACGAGACAACAAACAGATAAACAGAGCTTTGCGTAGGGTGAGATTAGGATTCAACAGAGCTGATCCTACAACTCGAGATGCATACGCTTATGACGCAAACAAAGCACTCTGGGAGTTTGTATGAAGTGACTCGGCATAAAAGCTGTCGTTTTTTGTGTGTGTGAGGGGAATATAAAGATGTGTTTGAGGAGGGGGGGGGGGTTGACGCCAGAACTGTGCTGTTGTTACAGAAGATGATGCCTCCATCTGAGTTATGCTGCCGATCAATTCCACAACGCTTGCTGTGCGTGATTCGGGTCGGAGTGCTCTATAAAAGAGGGCGTTATCTGGACCGTCAGTCAGAGTTGAGCGGTGGGGGGTTTTAATGAGAAGCACCTGGCAGTCACGGCGCCAAGCAAGAGCCCATCTCACACCTCCTCTTCAAGCATTAAATCCAGCGGCTGTTTTACAGATCGCTTCTGTGCTCGGCTTCTCAAGCGAGGAGTGTCAGTCGAAGGTGTGGAGGAGAGGGGGGAGAAAAAAAACAAAAACAAAACCTTGAACGCAGCCACGTGAATTATTCATAGGTGTAATAAATTGGCCCAGCTGTAATCGTTTGGGAGACAATTTCTCTGTCAGAAAGCAAAGGCTGATAGCCTCTCTCCTGCATTCGGCTCAACGACCTTTTTCGTGTTCACGTCCATGCGTTGGGCTGTCAGTCATTTGCCTGCTCATGAAAAGATGTGATTATTTCTGTTTCTTGGCCATTTACCCCGTGCGAAGAAGGATGGAGTGAGTAAAACCTGTCACGCTGTGAAGGGTCTTCGGGTATTACAGAGGTAATTTCCTCTGTATGGAATCATTAGACGGAACAGGGGCCATATATCTGTTTGCCATTATTTGTCATTCTCTGCTTAATAACATGAGGCATAAAGGATACATGGACATGGGGAGTGTAATGTGTCACGAAAGAGGCTGGGAAAATCATAAAAGCATTACAAATAGTCCTTTCGAACTCAATTCCGGAAGATCGCCAAGCGATGGCATCGTGCAGAAACCACACAGTACGCCAGATCCTAATCCGCCTCATTGATTATCCACCATTACACTAGCACCTCCTAAAAGTACAACAGATTTGTGCTGATAAGCATTACGGTGTACCAGCAACAATACGATTTATTCGTAACTCGAAAATGCACCAAAGATCTTGCATTGCCCATACCCCAGATAAAGCCATTATTCCAGAGGGAGAAAAAATTCATCTGTGGCTGGAACATACATCAGAGAAGTAACTTCTATCTGTTGTTCTCTTTCCTCCTGTGCTCCTTTCGGGCTTATTTAGATAACAAGTACGCTCCTGCTGTGAGCCTCAATGGTTTTATCTTCATCCTGGGAGGAGCCTACGCCCGAGCCACCACTATCTACGACCCAGACAAGGGCAACATCAAAGCTGGCCCCAACATGAATCACTCCAGGCAGTTCTGCAGGTTGGTCTAATGAACTGTAGATTGCGCTACACGATGCAATAAGCGATGTTCCACATTACAAATGGTTCGGCGTAAATGAAATGGAAACGTTTTCTTGCTCTTCCTTCCCCCCACAGTGCGGCGATCCTAGACGGGAAGATCTATGCAACGGGAGGAATCGTGAGCAGCGAGGGACCAGCGCTGGGGAACATGGAGACCTTTGACCCTTCCACCAACACATGGACGCTGCTGCAGAATCTGCCGTGTCCGCTTTTTAGACACGGATGTGTGGTTATAAAGAAGTACATTCAGAGCGGCTGACAACAAGCCAGGCTCTGGACTCTAATATCACAAACTGGCCTAAATCAGCTCATCAAGCTCCAGCCGGGCAATCTGGGTTGGACCGTCACGGCAAGGGATCCGTAGCATAGCTTTCGCTCAGGTGTCGTGCCATCGGAACGGTATTCTAGGTCAGCCAAATGCCATTTTCTTTTTTTAATTCCTCTTTCAATGTTTGAGTTGATATTCTTCTCCCACATGGAGTTTCCGTCAAATGTCATTTTTCATTGGTAGTCATGTCGTGAGATGAGAAAATGGGATTGTATGTCGCGTATATATATAAATATAAATATCAGATGCATCGTGATGGGACTTCAGCAAGACTCTAAAGGACGTCAATGCTAGTCATGTAGCCCTCCAGCGAGGGCCAGTGATACAGAGAACGGATCGAACGGAAGGCCCTCCTGAACTCCAAAGCACAAAATACCAGAACCTGTGATGCCCAGAGGAGTTTCATTTCATTTTGTTCTGTGTAAATCATTCGACCTTTCCTTTGTGGGTTTGTTTTTTTGTATCCTTGCATTTTATTCCAATCCACGAGCCTGCAGCTGTGGCCGAATACAGATGGAGGAAATGGAAGGAGACACTTTGTATTATATGGAAGATATGTATATTTTAAAAAAGGCGATACAAATTGTGTATAAATGTTTTTAGAAAAACTCAATGGATTGGACAGTGTCTGTAAATCTGTACCCTACCGGAACAATTTACGTTATTAATGCTGAAATACATATCCAGAATTCTAAAGAAGTGATTGAGTGTTTATTGACTTCCCACACTGTGTAACCCATTATTGCATCTAAGACTGACGTTTCTGAATAACTGTAAAGGATTTTTAAGACCAAGATACAGAAGTCAAGCTTTAAATGGGATAATTATCAAAAATCTTTGGTCATTTTTGATAAATATGCTAATTCCGCCTGTCATAATAATCAATATGTCGACTTATTGCACAGCACATGGACACAACCTCAATCATATTTGGTGATTCAATCATATTTGGTGATTCAATATATATCACCCATACATAAACATCAATTTCAGCAACATTTTTATCCCGATTGGAGGTGTCAGTGTGAGTATGGTTAAAAAAAAACCCTCTAGTATTTGCTATAAATTACTTCAGTATATTTTCATTTAAGTGTGTGACGACTGAAATAGATCAGGTAGCAGATATCAAAGCCTCTGTTATTTTTTACCTTGCACTTTTTTGTTATAACTTATTATTATTTATTAGGATATGCGTTTTCACATTCGGATTCCAATGCCTAAATATTAAATTAACTAATTAAATGAAATATTCTTAATAAAAAATGATGTGTTCTTTGAAAGAGTGTACTTGAATTGTGATGATATTATCTTGTCATTCAGGCATTACATAATGAGTGGCATAAAATAGTCTTACAATGACAATAATAATGTTAATTACAATATATTTCAGTGCAATACAACGTACGACAAAAAATAGACATCGTGACACTCCTAATGCTAATGCACTAACCTGTAAAAGATTCTGGGTTCCACACAAACGATTTGTGTTAGGACAACATAAAGAAATTAAGTTAACAATCATTTTTAATAATCAAACAAATTCGAGTGGATTGAAGTAATGTTTGGAGTTTATGCTAAGCTAAACATGCTTCGACCAGGGGTGCATTTTGCAAGTCACAAGGGGTCGCAAGTTCCGTCGATAAAAATAAAGTTCGTTAATTTGGCGTTTCCCAAATCCATCATTCCAATGAACATTCGCATTTTAGCAATCTTCATATTGAAAATTGCATTCCCTTTGTAGCACACTTTAAAAACATTTATGCCATTTTAAACACAGCCGTGGCTCATGATGAAAGCCGTAGGTGAACTATTATTTAAATGCCGAATTTACATAATTACAACCATTAAACATTTATATGAGATTAAAATGTGTGTTAGCTTTTTGTAAGTGGTTTTTATGTTTTAGATTAGAATATGGAATATACATATTGGGCCAATAAAAATATTAAGAATATTTCAATTAATATGGGAAACGAGACTATAGTATTATATTTTACTAATATTTTTTTATGCGTGTGCTTGCCAAACAATAGAATTTGCACCAAAAATAAAGTTTTTTTTTCTCTAAAGTTGTTACTCCACCCCGTTTAGAGCGTCATTATGGACGTTGTATGTTAAAACCAACATGCTTCAAATGATTAATCTGCAACAAAGCAACAACAGTTTTGAGAATCTTTCATCACTACATTGCTCTTTTGCCAAGCGATGCATCGTACTACGGTAGTACAGCTGCAAGTTACATTGTAGTTTGGTAAATGCACTCCAGACCAGTACATTGGCTGGATGGAATCAAAATGGTAAAAACATTTTAACTCCAAAGTTGTTGTAAAATGAGCCTTGTGCAAAGCAACTGTATAATTAACAATGGCTAATTTACCATAGTTGATATATGTGAAAGAAAATTAGCTTTTTTTTGGTACTTAAATTTTCCTTTTTTTTTTTTTTTTTAAACACAGCAGACCATCCAAAATTTGCTGTAACCCCCAATCACGAATCAAGCCACGACTCGGATTGAAATCGAAACACCAGAGCGACTTCAATTTGCACCTTTTATTCAAGTATATCACAGCAGTTTATTACAGTAAATATATCATTTCACAAAAAGAAGGACTGCAAGGAAGGACAGAACAATGTGTGTGGATCTGATTTGCTTCATGGTAGTAAAAAATAAAAGGGGCACAAATTCTAGAAACACTCAAAAAACAAAATCCCTCAACCATCATAAATCATAAAGGGGTAAAGATCTACTAATTAACTAAAAACCAACCAAATACTTTTCCTCCATCATACAGCGTCGACCAAGAAACTCCTGACCATAATACAACAAAATAAAAACAGGTTTAGTGGGTCTTTAAGTCTACCTAAAGCAAAATGCTATTGTTCTATGGACTTCCTACGCTCAGTAAAAATCCTCTGAATTAAACTCTGGTCAACTAAAGGTAAAGAACTGTAGTCAAACACATAGACTTCCACATTGTAACATTTTAAATGCAGGATTTGAAGAGTTAATTTTCTAAAAAATATATTAGTGGTGCTTCTGCAATGCAAAACTCCATTTGCGTGGTACGTGCCGACCGACGTTTGATTAAAGGCCAATTGCATGACGCTAGTAAATAGCTTCGTAGGATAAGGTATTTGTCTTAAGATTTGGCATTATCTAAAGCTCTATTTTTATTACTCTCCAATATGGTCAGCATTACAGTAGTTTCTTTAACGCTACACCAGATTAGCATGTTGACGATACTACAGGGGGACCCGAAAATGCGCATAAAAACTCCCCCCAACATCATCCTCTATAGTAATAAGTGAAAAAAGAAGCATAGCCACCATCATCTCCACCCTCATGGAATAAATATTAATGTAGCAGAGACCTGAGACCAGTAAAAACCCCGTTTCTGAACGTCGTGCAACACCTGCTACAAAAAAACGTGCTACATCGTTTGTCTCGGCACAAATTTAATGTAACAAAGTTTCCAATTGGTTTCGTTTGAACAAAATGTTGAACATATGACGAATAATTTAATAAATAACGAATGGACATGCAATAGCACAAAGGCGGCATTTGAGAATAATAATAATAAAAAAAGGGGCTAATGAAATGGACTGAAAAGTACGAAACAAACATGGCCACTAATATACGAAATTCATGGGATGCACATGTAGAAATCAAAACAAAACCCCGGAAATATACAGTATATAACATTTCACCTGTACTAAAATGCCATTTCTTTTCTCGGCTCATAAGCAGAACAACCCCGAACAACAACAAAAAAGTGAAGAAACGCATCCGAACAAACCTCGAGGATTACTGCAGCAGCCACATGAGGTGATCCAGTACCTTAGCTTGAATTTCTGAAGGGCGCAGAGATTTTTTTATAGAGGTCAACAAATACTGTTTAGAAGTAAACAGGTCATTACTTTCGTCTCTTCGCATGAAAACAACTTGCTGAGGTAGCTGTGGTTCTGTCTCTCACTCGCACTGCAGTAGTCCAAAGCTAACTCATAGTCTTTTCCTGTCTTTTGCATATGTCTTAAAGTGTTTCCTTTTTTTTTTCCTTTTTCTTTATAGCACCGAATCCTAGACAAGGTCACGAGGACTCCTAACCTTGGATTATCTTTCTTTTCAAAGCGATAAAAGTAGACAGTTAATGAAAGTTTGGAGAGGGAGACCAGATTTAAAGGGACAGTTCACCCAAATATGAAGATTTGCATTTGATTTAATCATTCCAATACCTCCAAGATTACAATTATGGTCTTCGGTTGAACATTGAAGAAGATTTTTAAGCTGAAACTGTGGTTCTTCATAAAATGGCGATTCATAAATTGCAATTCAAAGACTACCAGAAATCTTGAGTTTTACAAAAAATACTACTGTTACTAAAGTTAGCTACTGGCACTTTAAGAGTAAAAAAAAATACAGGCAAAGCAAAATTAATCTCCTGAGGAGACATGAATTCTTATGACACCAATGATTGGTTCCGGTTCTTTCTTGTGGAGAAATTTAGGAACCTTTGCCAAGATTAAAGGTAACAATGTTCAATTTCTGGCACAGAACAATCATTTTGGTATATGAGACCTCTTCAGGACACACAATATTAATCTAGCTCTGCCTGTATTATTATTTATACTCTCATAGTAGCTAACTTTAGTCACATCAGCGCTTTACAAATCCATTTACAAAAATATTCTTTAAGAAGAAAAAAATCATCTGCAGCTTAAATTTCCTGCAAATTAAAGGTATAGTTCACCCAAATATGACCATTCTGCCACCATTTACTCATCCTTCACTTGCTCCAAATGCTTCAAAAGAAGAACACAAAAGAAGATATTTTGAAAAATGTTGAAAATGTGTACCCACTGACATCAATATTGGAAAAACAAAATGGTATCGCTACATTTTAATGGTCCTTTAAACGTATTTTGTTGAATTTAAGTTACATTGCATCTACATGCCAACTAATTCTCAATAGATTATAAGTAGACAGTTAGGTTGGGGTTAGGGTTAGTGTAAGTTGACATGTACTTGCAAAGTTCCTCATAGTCAGTTAAATGTCTGTTGAAGGAGCAGAATCAACAGATATTAAACAGACAGTTTACTAATACTCAAATGAGATGTAATTGGCATGTAGTTGCAATGCAACTTTTAGTCAACAAAATGTGCAAGAGGCGCCATCAAAATACAGTCTTACCAAACAAATACTATGTATGTCAAATGTTACAAGTTTCCAACATTTTTGTTTGGGGAAAAAATGGGTTTGAAATAAGAAAAAGATGAGTAAAAGATGGTGGAATTGTGATTTTTGAGTAACTCTATCTATTCAATAGCTAATGTTCATTCTTGGGTGCACTGCCTTTTAATGCTACCATCACAACGCAACAGAAAAAAAACCTTATTAACAGCTAAAGATTAGAAAACACGATGAAGGGTAAATAAAAAAAGTATAAAACATATACAACAACAAAAAATATAGTAATGCTTTAGGTTTCAAAAATTCAGCACTGCCTAGACTGCCACTTTCACCAACAATCTGCAAACAATTTACACTCCAAATTGGTCATTTTATGATAAAAATGACTGGCAAATGAAAGCCACGTATGATGGAGTGACCAGACAAACCATGACGATGTTGTTTGGTGGCTTGAGAAGAGATTGGCAAACATTTACAACAACAAGCCGCATCGTTTCAATCGAAAAGACAACTTTTTCCAATTCCCTAAAAAGTGTTTGTCCACAAACAATGATAGTCAATATTCATTATCTATGTTTTTTTTTTTCCTCAGCCTATTTTAAAAGTTAAGGCACACGCCAGGCAGTGCAATCTCCAGATATCCAGCCATAAATCCAGTTAAAATGCCAAAAAAAGAACTATTCTAAAGAGGGGAATATGTGATGGCTCTAAAAATAATACCATTTCTCTCCTAAAGACCTATTTTAAACCAAAATCTGTCTTTTTTCATTCAATTCTACAAACATCTTGGTCAGAGAACACAAGGTAAAGTTGGGTTTTTACAATACAGAGGTCTTCTTGCGAATCGTACAATTAACACCCAGTAGAAAACAACGTTAAAGACGTCCCTACAAAATGTGTGTTTGTTTCGTTTTCCAGCAGAAGTATCTAAAAAGGTGTTGATAATCTCAATGGTGACACTACAGAGCTATACAAAGAGGGTGATGTGTGTTTTTTTCCACAGAAAATGACCAGGTGCTTTGATTTTTTCCACTGCTGGTGAGAATATCTGTGTGTGTTTGTTTGTTTGTTTGCGTCCAGTAGACGGAGGCTGAGGTTGCTTTGTGACATCACACAATCTTTTATTTTGTACGGTTTGTGTTTTGTTTGCTCATTAATGAGAAGAACAAGGAGCAGCAGACGGAAAATAAAAAGAACAATAGCACCCAATAGCACCAAGAATGATCACCGGCAATTGGCATGTGTGTGAGTTTACCAAAAAAAGAAAAGATAACAACGACGAAAAGGAACGAAAAGGAAACTTCCAGGAGTTTTTGTTGTGTTTGGTTCTGTAGACTGGTTCTGTTTCAGGTACCTGAGATGATAGCACCAAGTCGCCTTTGTTTCTATTGTCTGCACCTCTTTTTTTTTCTTCTTCTGTGTGTGAGTGTGTGTGTTTTTCTTGAGGCGTCCAGACCGGCTCGGTGTGGAGGATTTGGCTCAGGACGCTGCTTTTCCCCTCTGCTATCAAAAGAGTCTCGATCTCACGTTTCTCCCTCTCTCTGAAAGCCCTCGTTTCATCACAGGAATGTTTCGAAATGCTCAACTTGCCTCTCCATGGCCTGCAAAGCAACAGACAGAAAACAGCTTTGTTAACAGCACTGTTTGCTCACTGTGGATTCCACCAGACATTAAAGAATAATTATAGTACACACACATACAGTTGAAGTTTATTAGCTAACAGTTAGGAATTTTAAGCTCTCCTGTGATTTCTGTTTAACAGAAGATTTTTTCAACTCATTTCTAAACATAACAGTCTTAATAACTCATTTCCAATAACTGATGTCTTTTGTCTTTGCCATGATGACAGTACATAATATTTGATAAGTTATTTTTCAACAGGCTAGCAAAGTGCAATATAAAGGCTTAAGGTAAGTTAGGTGAATTATAAAAAAATAAGCATCTGCTAAACACAAAAAGGAAGTTTTGCAAATTGCAGGGGTCATTCCATTGAGAAAAGAAAACACAGAAATCCACTGGAATTCCTATAATTTATTTTTTATTAATAACTTTACAGGACTGCTAATAATTTTGTCTTCAACAATGTCTTGTATACAGTTGTGCTTTTCTAAAATTAACTCAGAACTTTATGTTTCTTTATTTAACAAACAGATCAAAAACTCATTGAGGTCAAGATCTCATTTTCAAGAGTGACCTGGCCAAGAGGTTCACAATACCAGACTTAAGAAAAAATATATTATAATAATAATAGTAATAATAATAATAATAATAAAGATAATATAAAAATACAGCTTCGTTATTCAGCTATACCGAATTAAAATATGTTAAAAACAAAACTTTAAAGTTCAAGAATACATTATTTTGAATTAGAAATGTAGATGTATGATATATACAGTAGATACAAGATAAGGTATTAAAAAATTAAGGTTTGGGGTAAGATTTTTAATTTATTTTTATTCTCACCAAAGCTGCATTTATTTGATTAAACGTATAGCTTATAGAGATGTCAACAATTAATCAATGAAAAAAAAAATTAAATGTTTTTTTTAAAAAGTGCAGTAGGTAAGTGTGACACCCTGTGGTTGAAATAGGTATTGCAATCCTGGATAAAAACAAATTTCCAATAGGCTCCTCCTCTGACAAGTCCAAGCAAACACAGGTTGCCAGATTGATGCGAGTGTGCCTGACTATCAAGCCTAAAGGCTGATTTGAACTGTTTCCTCAAAGCTGCGGCACGTAATAGAAGAAATTCTTCACATACTTAAAGGAGTTTTCGTCCTAACCAACACCTGAAATTTCTGTTTTAGAAAGGGCTTCTATTTCTCATAGGTGAACAACAATCACCTCAGGTGCACCTCATGTGCTTTATTCAGTGCTAAATTCTAATAATAAGAGTCCAAATGCCATTTTACTGGATATTTATTGCCATACTACTGAAAGCAGCAGCAGATCATTAGCTCAGATCTTGAAAATAAAATAAATGATTTAAAATTAAACTTCAGAACTGTGACTTAGTGCAAGCCAACACATATCAGTGATTCAGCATGTATGTCTAATAATGTTAAAGAGGTTTAATATGTATAACTAGATTGTAAACCTTACCATTTCGTTGGAGTGAATAACTCACATTTTCAAAGCAGAATATCTGACTTCAGCATTGTTTTTCATATAAACAAGAATGCTCACTTAGCATGTTACTTAAATATCTACAAACAAATTATGGTGTTTTTATGCTTCAAAAACTTACGTACAGCACCTTTAACATGGTTATTATTTTAAAAACAGCAATGTTGTACACCGCACTGCATCCATTAAAATGATACACTATCTACACTACTACAGTACTACTACTATACTACAGTATGTTTGAAAAAACAAAACAGGCATCATTTTACATCTAATGTTCTCCAGGTATTTTTATATGCACAATATCATATGCATATTTGGGAATAAAATAACACAATATCAAAAATGATTTGCTCATACAGACAACAGTCATTATACTGATGATGATGATGATAATAATAATAATAATAATGATAATAATGATAATAATAATATTAATAATAATAATAATAATAATCTTGCATTATTGAGATTATGAAATAATTGAATCAAATTGATAATTTAAACAATTGATCATAAATATTTGTGCAAATTGACACTCCCAATAGTTACAAACAGGACAAAATGTGTGAACAATTAACTAAATCATGTTCAATTGCTTCTAAATCCAGTCCGCCGGCTGCAAAATGATCCACAGATCTGACGGCGAGCTGTGGATTAAAATCTAAACACACACACACAGGCTTTCAGATGCTTTCGATTCAGAATGATCCTGGAATTAATAAACACGACTCTATTAAAGTCCTCTCTCAATGAGGAACTGCTATACACAACATGCAAATGAGCCTTCAGTCACGCCGGCCGTAATTCCTTGGAGCAACTCTAATCTGTTTTCTGCTGGGCAGCGACCATTACTATTGTATTGGAGAACAGCGCCCGTAATTTCCCATGAGGCCGAGCGAAGGCTCTCCAGCATCGGGGTAATTCAAACACACAGCATCTGTTCAGTGTGTTTCTGTCTCGTCTGAGCGCCGTCACGCACACACACACACGACACATGACTGAACACAACGTCACGGGTCATTAGACGGTGCAGCGCTACTAGTTAATAATGGTGTCATTTTAATAGTGTTATACGTGCTATTACAACAAATGTGTTATAATCCAGTGCTTTTAGACAGGTAAATACAACTAAACTGCATTTATATGAATTCAAATGGATGTGTTTATACCAGGGTTATTATAGTTAACTGAAATATACTGACATTATTATTTAATGTACGAGTGAGCGCTGATATTGGAACCTTGTTGGCTTGAGACAGTTTCATGCACGTCCATTAATTTTGGTCGTAAATAACTGTTCATAGTGCTGCTTGAAGTTGCAAACTTGTATTTTCTTATTGTTATATTATTTGTTGTGCAGTGTCATGAATACAATTGTTTGGAAAGCAAGTAGTTTAACCTTTCCCTGACTTTTTTATAGGCAAATGAATGGGCTATATGCAGAGTGTTTTTTAGCCAATGATGTGACTATTTTCAATTTCATACGGTTCCTTTTACAGCATAGATGTTGTAGTGTAATTCAGATAGAATCAGTTAAATAGACCTAAGCATCCATTTGGTTGTTAAGTTGCTAAAAAGAGACGAAAGACCGTTTAAACGCTGATGCCGTCACTAGCAGCAGGCCAGCACAGAAACTCTTTGATTTCCATATTTTAAAGACATGGCACGGAAAAATGTAATTTAATCCATTGCTTCTAGTTTGGTCTGAGACCCACTTTATAACATACCTCAGCCAGCCAGACCGCTGTTATTTTTTTAAGAAATCAGAACTTAAACGCAGCAATTTTCTATGGGATGACAATTAACCGGAAGCCCTGATGCCGGCTAACTGAAATTAAAAGTCTGGTTGCCTCCATTGACCCCACTGGAGGTCTAAAAAAAATTAGTGAAGAGAGCAATTGATGTGATTGCTGTACCCCACAGAGCATACTTTGCACATTGTTGTTTTTATTCCAAGTGAGCATTAATGAGTGAGTATGTGTGTAAGTGTTAGTAAGTGACTCTGTGTGTAAGTGTTAGTGTGTAAGTGTTAGTGTGTGTGTGTTAGTGTGTGTGTGTGTTAGTGTGTGTGTGTGTGTGTGTGTGTGTGTGTGTGTGTGTGTGTGTGTGTGTGTGTGTGTGTGTGTGTGTGTGTGTGTGTGTGTGTGTGTGTGTGTGTGTGTGTGTGTGTGTGTGTGTGTGTGTGTGTGTGTGTGTGTGTGTGTGTGTGTGTCACACTCAAACTATGTTATCCAAACTGTGCCCGTGTGCATTTCCTAGCTTGTTTGACAAGTGTGAATGCTCAGAATTGGGCCCAGGCACGGTTCAATTGGCCAGCCCTGGCCCGGTTGAAAGAGGTGTGCCAAAGCGAGGTTTGGTTGGGCTCAGGCATGGTACGCTTGTAGTGTGAGTGCAAAGCATGTCTGAGTCCAAAACTGAAGATGCTTTTGAGGGACTGTTTTATATGGAGTTTATATGGATTTATTAATCATTCTTACTGTTCAATGAACGCAAACTGTCGTCGTTTATTAAAGCCGCAAAGCCCTTACTGCACGTCAGCTGAACCTTCAGGAAACCTCATGATACATGCAGCGAGATGACTTTTATGATAATTTATGAGCATCAAAAGTTGTGGATCTCTTCGGCAAAATATTTGACAGCATCCCAAATGATTAAAAACAACACATCGGATACTGTTTACCATGGTGCACTAAGATTTATAACAAATTTGAAATCTCTCACTCATCATTGTGTGCTGTACACTAGGGTAGGTTGGTCTGCTTTGTCCATTCGTAGGCTTAAGCATTGGCATATCTTTGTTTACAAATCTTTACTGGGTTTACTCCCATCATATCTACAGAATTACATTTGTTAAAAGCCTGTCCTTAACTGTGGCCTTCGGTCACAGGATATTTACTGTCTGTTCCTTAAGTGCGGACTGAGATGGGAAAAAGGCTTTTAAATACGCAGCTCTCTTTGCATGGAATAATCTGCAAACAAAGTTGCAGTTTAAAGAATTGATTTCACTAAAGGCTCTTTTAAATAAAAGAGTATAAATGATTTAGAAACTGAAACTCAGGCGTGTAGATGTTTCGAATAGTTTGTTTGTCAATGTTTGATTCATGTTAACTGTCAATTGTTTTTTGTTTGTTAGACCCATGTGACATGTATTGCCTAATCTCAGCCAGGACGCTCTTGTAAATAAGATTTTTAATCTCAATGTGTCTTTCCTGGTAAAATAAAGGTTATAATATAATATAATACAAAACAGTATAACTAATGCAATGTCCACTGTGCTGAGCGTGAGCACTTCACATCCTGTTAAACTGAACAGTCGCATCATCAATGTCGCAATCATGCTCGGGCTCTGAAGGCAAAACGCAATGTGAGTGAGTGAGTCAGTGACTGTGTATGTGAGTGAATGTGAATGAATGAGTGTGTAAGTGTGAGTGACCATGTGAGTGATTAAAGTTGTAAAGAATAAGTGAGTTGTTGGCTGCATTCCACTCCACTTTTAGAAATGCACTGACACTTTGTTCCCTCGATGGAATCCCCACCGCCATTTACAACTGTGGTCCACTTCAAGTGAACAAGGGAAGATTACATGGACGTACACTTGATTCCTCAATTTTGACCGAGGGAGTGAGTCTGCTTCATATATCCACTCCAGAACCTATATTTACTAGGACACAATGTGATTGTGATGTCACAACAGTGTAGTTTGTAAGGGTGCTTTCACACTAGGTCCGAATGTCTGGTCCGAACCAAAGTTCAACTGTCCCTCTTGCCACTTTCTCGGTAGGTTTGTGTTCACACTGTCTTTTTTCCTTCTGAAAGCCTATAGACTTGCGTCATCGAGCTGCTGTTGTGTGTACAGCTGTTGCAGGATGACGGCCATGAAAGTAAAGCGCTAAAATGGAGACGTCCGCATATCACGGTCATTCTGCTTTTAATGAATCTTTTGCTTTTGTAACCATAAAAAAGGCATATAAAATTCAACTGTTATGAAACCAGCATGTGTGTGTACTCGACTGTTATGAAACCAGCAAGAGTGTGTGTACTTGTATGAGATACAAAGACACACAAACACACACGAAATAACTTTATGAAAACGATAGTTTGTTGTAAAGTTGGCGGTTCACTTTTGTTATTTGGTATGATTACATTCATATCAGTAATAAACTGGACCAAAGTTTGCACGAACAGTACCCAGACCACCTCTTTTCAGGCAGACTTGGGAACAATTCACGGGTGCACACCTAAGTTCAGAAGACATTGTTCACACTAGCTAAATGTACCGTACTTTAATGTCATCCGAACCCGGGTTCGGACCAAAAGCGCTCAAAGGATTAGGTCAATCCATTGAAACCCATTCAGATGTTCAGTAGTGGACACTTATGTAATATAATTGATAACATACTTCCAAACGAATGAGATAGATGAAACTTAGCCAGTGAAAGGCATAAAAAAATTGGACTGAAATGCAACAAATGATTGTGGGTGTACTTGTTTTTACATCCTGGTGGAGACTTAAAATTGAGCGCACTCAGACTCATGAGGATCACAATTGAGGTGAACATGCTTATAAACCAAGCAGAACTAAGTATTTTAAATGTAAAAATGCACATTGTTTCCTGTGAGGGTTGGGTATAGGGGTAGTTTTGGGGTAACAGGGTTGAATATACAGTTTGTCTAGTATAAACCTCATTAGGGTCCCCATCTATGAGAGTCCCTGCAGAGATATAGAAACAAGTGTGTGTGTGTGTGTGTGTGTGTGTGTGTATGTATACCTCTATGAGTCTGGTCTTGTCGTAGTCTCGGCGGTGCTGGTAAATGCACTGGCTGAGAGCAGAGAAAACTCTCTCCAGATGATCCACACTGAAGCCCTCGCTCTTCACCACCGCCTGCTCCAGCAGAGCCTGAAACAGCAGCAAAAACAACAAGATATGACTGTCTAGTACCTCACATGACTTTATTCCAAGTAAACTGAAGTACAGCTCAGCGGCGAAGAAACAGTCTGTTCCTCACTCAATTATTTAAAGTTTGAGAGGTTTTTTTTGTGTGTGTTTGCTCTTTTTGTCATAAAAATCTAAATTAGCTAAAATAAACAAGCACTAAACATTTTAAAACCAAGCAAATATATTTAGAATCAAATTACAACTGGTTTGCTTCAGGAAAACAACAACATAAATTAAGTAAAAGAAAAATTAATTGATTGATTAACTGATTTTTTTATATTTTAATCTTCATTCATTCATTCATTTTCCTCAGGCTTAACCCCTTTATTTATAAGGGGTTGCCACAGCGGAATGAACCGCCAACTATTCCAGCATATGTTTTACATAGTCGATGCCCTTCCAGCCACAACTCAGTAATTCACATTCACTATGGCCAATTTAGCTTATTCAATTCACCTTTAGCGTATGTCTTTGGAGTGAGGAGGAAACTGGAGAACCCGGAGGAAACCCATGCCAACACGGGGAGAACATACAAACTGCACACAGAAATGCCAACTGGCCCACCCAGGGCTCAAACCAGTGATTTTCTTGCTGTGAGGCGACAGTGGTTACCACTAAGCCACCATGTATCCCTCATTTCTTAATCTTTAAGATTGAAATAAAACATTTGTTTCCATTTTATTTGCTGTGCTTGTCAAACTCTAAGTACAACATCAACTTGAAAAATGTAAAATATAAAACAATCTTAATTATAAAACGATGACTGCACTGGAGGACAACAAAGGGTCTATTGAATTTCTCCTTTCGTGTTCTCCGCGGGTTTGGAAGGACACGAGGATGAGTAAATAATGACCGCTTTGATTTCTGGATGAACTGCTCCTTACAAAAGGAACACAAAAGAAGCGGTCAGATCTGAAACGCACTGCCAAATCTGACGCTAATTAGTATTTGATTTGTTAATGGTAGGAATAAAGCCACTCACATACAGCCTTTCTATTTGTTCCAAGGAGAAAAGCTCTTAGATTAAAATGGGTCATTTCTCTTCAAGTCTGGAAGTGAGGTAATGAATGAATCACATATAATCCACAAACATACACACAAACACACATATAGAGTGGAAGTCAGAATTATTAGTCCTCCAGAATTGTTATTATTAATATTAAAATATTAATTCTTTTTCCACAGCACCATGACTTTATATTCTATACTTTGCATTATTGCTGTTAAGTGACAAGACTTTTGTTTAAGAAAAGTCAGATCTTACTGTCCTAATTAAATAATTAAAAATCAAGGCATGATCATATTTTATTTTGGTAAAATAAGCATCATCTAGAGGTCTTTGCCTTTCATTTAAGCTACTTCTGATACCAAATGATCAACTAGAATTCAAGGTATTATTGGTTATTTCTAAAACTTGGATAGGTGAAAAGACTTTAAGATAAGACTAAAAAAGTTGTGTTATTTTGACTTTAAGATAAGACTAAAAAAGTTGTGTTATTTTCTTAAGCCTACCTTTTTTCTGAACTAAAATTTTGACTAAATTCTGTTTTAGTATTTAGGTAATGTTGCAAATTGGAGGATATTTAATTAACGGTATAATTGCCATTTGCTTTAAAAAATGTATCAGTTCATATTTGTTTATTTATTAATTTTACCTAAAAAAAATTTATATATCTATTTAAGCTGCTGTGTAGGCAAGTTCTTAAATTACAAAAAAAAAAAATAAATAAATAAATAAACCTGATATGTGCTATTAAGTTATACAGATTGGATGAAGTAGAAAAAGCAGGCATGGAATGTTAGAGATGACAGTAACACTGCCCTACTGAACGAAGGCTGAACATATTTCAAGAAACTATTCTTAACAAAAGTCTGAGATGTAAAAAGAAAGGAAGAAAGTCAAAGAATAACAGAGCATTAACCGAGAAGGTAACCTCTAAAACCCAGTTTGACCATACACACACACACACACACACACACACACACACACACACACACACACACACACACACCTGCATACGAAACAAAACTCTGCCAACACGTAGACTTGCAGAAACGGAGGTCAGCCATCTTCAAAAGCAATTAAGATCACGACGACAGCTAATTAAGGCACATCATAATTACCTTCCAGTTCATGCGCCGCTCCGGTATGCGAGTCGTATTTACTGTTTGCACTGGCTTTAATTAAAACGCTTCAGAATTCACATTGATATATTCATCACGAAAGATCCTCCGGCCAATCGTGAAACTCATCGAGTCATTACTACACTGCGCTGGTCTGAGTTTTCTAACATAAACAGTGACGCTTCCTGATAAGGTAAGGAGTCGGACAGAAGAAAGTCGGGAGCGTGTTGAGATTACCAATGGAGGCCAGTAATTGAGCACTCTCGATTAGTTTTGGGGAGACTTTTAATGAGAAAAAGCATGGCCTGGGGAAAGGTTTTGAAAGTGTATCTTTATGGCATGATGACAGAGCACCGACCAATAAAAAAACAACCAAATATCTTCATTAAAAAAGAGCTGGAGGACACAGAAGGTAAATAGAAGCTGAACAGCAACAATAAAGAAACACAGCACAGTTTGAAAGGTGAAAGAACCAGTTGATGGCATACAAATGATCTATATGAAAGTTAGATAATCGTGTCCAGTTAGTCGAGAGTGACTTTCAGTAGCTATATCAAAAACTGCAGTATAGTGTAAAATAAATGTGCAAAAGGTTCCATTAGTTAAGAGATAGAGAATTAAACTGAATAACTAATCTCTGTTAACATTATTCAATAAAAAATATAAACACTTAATCATAAGCTATAATCCGTTAAAATATTATAAACCAAAAACTTGGATTTACCTTTTTTAATTATGTTTATTGAATTTTCACAAGAATGCAGATATAATACATCTTCACAAGACAAAGAAAAACAAAACAAGGAGGAAAAAATCTCAGATTATACAGAGGGGTTAATACGTATTCAACACATCACCATTTTTCTCAGAAAACATATATCTAAAGGTGTTGACTTAAAATTTTTGCCAAATGTTGATAACAACCAAAGAATTTCATATATGCAAAGAAAACTAAACTAACTAGATTACAGACAAAGTTATGCGTAATAAAATAAACTGACGCAAGAAAAAACATTGAACAAATGAAGAAAGAGAGGTGTAGTAAAGCAGTAAAAGCCCAGACAGCTGCTGAAATCTCTCAATATTATTCAGCAACCCTCTGCCCTTCCATCATTGTAAATAAATATTAGCTACTTCAGTCCAACATCTACATTAGCAGGAGGATGAAGATGAATGGTGGGCATTTCAGCAAGACAATGATCCAAAACACAGCCAAGGAAACTCTTAAAAGTGTTCAGAGAAAGAAAATCAAGCTGTAGAATGGCCTAACCAATCACCTAACTTGAATCCAACAGAAAGTATTAAATAAAGATCAGATTTGATAAACGAGATCCACAGAACCAACAAGATTTTTACACTCCGTTGAAGTCTGTGAGAAACTCACACCCGAGCAATGCATGTAAATTCATTCTCTAAATGAGAGGCATCTTTAAGCTGCCATCATCAAAAAGCCTTTTATATAAAATACAAGCATATTATTTAAACTGGTTCAGAATTAACTTTTGATTTTAACCTGTTATCCACCAAAACCACTCAAAGGATGCAAACCTATCGGATTTTTAAAAAAAAGGTAATATTTGTTTACCCCAGTGAGCTTCAAACACAACTTGGTTAATGTACAGTATATGTGTATACTATTGTAAGTTCATAAAGTTAAAGTAAACAAACTAAGATTAATAAATGCTTTAGAGGCATATAGTTCATTTTAACAAGTTAAGTTGGAATGTAATTAAATAAATAAAGAGTTCAAGTTACTTATTTTGACACTACTGCATTATCATATTATAAACCTCTACTAAAAAATAATACTTAATTAGCAGGGTAACATTTTTATATTGCAAATTATATATCCAGTTAAGTCAGAATTATTAGCCCCCGTTGATTTTTTTCTTTTTTTTTATATTTCCTAAATGATGTTAAACAGAGCAAGGAAATTTTCACAGTATGTCTGATAATATTTTTTCTTCTGAAAAGTCTTATTTCTTATATCTCGGCTCGAGTAAAAGCAGTTTTACATTTTTTAAAAACCATTTTAAGGACAATATTATTAGCGCCTTTAATCAATATATATTATTTGATAGTCTACCGAACAAACCATCATTATACAATAACTTGCCTAATTACCCTAACCTGCCTAATTAACCCAATTAACCAAGTTAAGCCTTTAAAGATCACTTTAAGCTATATAGAAGTGTCTTTCAAAAATATCTAGTCAAATATTATTTACTGCCATTATGGCAAAGATAAAATAAATCAGTTATTAGAAATGAGTTATTAAAACTATTATGTTTAGAAATGTGTTGAAAAAAATCTCAGTTACGGAAAACAATAAACAGGGGGGCTAAAAATTCAGGGAGGCTAATAATTCTGACTTCAACTGTATATATACATATTTAGTGAAAATACAAATGTTTATTCTTCCTCTGAAATTTGTATTCTTTTAAAAAGTTCCTCGAAAGCTGTTGAACGTGGAGATTTTCAACAATAAGCAAAACAGATTTAATAACAAATTTCTAATAATTTTCTTTCATACTTAAAAAAGGGGCATAATTATAATATATACTATATACAGTTGAGTCCTGTGAAATTAGTATTATTTTTTTTACAACATTTATCTTCGTGCTGTTTAACAAAGATTTTTCAAGATTTTTTAACAGTTGTAATAACACATTTCTAATAATTTTGATCATTCCAAATAAACTAGGTCAATTAGATAAACAAGGTAAGTTAGGTTAAAAACTGTTTGGTAGACAAATGAATATGGTTAAATGTATATAAATGTTTATATATTGACAATAGCTATTTTTCAAAAAAATGTCAAATCTGCTTTTATTCCA